CTGCTTCACCACCCTCCCTTGGACAGGGTCAAGTGGTACAGGCCAGGTTTCTGTTGTTTTCACACTCTCCTTTCGTGCTCACCCAGGAACCTTGCTTTGTCTCCAGCGTGATTGTCCTCTTTTGCAAATGACACAGCTAGGGGAGGGTGGGGGAGGGTGTTGGTGGGGGACATGGGGGGGGGTTGTGGTAAGCAGCAGGGAGGGTGTACGCAAACCCACGCAGGGCATGTCCACAAGCAGATGCACCCACGCATGACGCACGCCTAACATCCGCAACATCGCGACAGGAGTGAACGCTTCAGAAAAAAAAAAAAACACCTCTATTCATGGTGCAAGGGCAGCGCGAGGGTACAGAAGCACTTAAACAGGACCTTGAATGAATTCTTTTGTCCTAGCTAAGTACTGCCATAATAGAGTTAGCTCACCGATCACAGGAGTGATTAAATTTAAGAGGAAACATAAGGAGAAAGAAAAAGAGATAACTTCAAAAATACAGCTGAATTACAGCACTTACGCATGATAGCAGCCTCTTCTGGCCACGCTGCAGCACAGACGTTAAGACTTGGACGGAGTTAGTTAATGTAAAAGATTTAAAAACGTGTAGCAATGCTACTATGAGCACACACACACACACACACAGACGCACACACATATATATTTCACGGCCACCCAGGACTCCTGATGGTCTGGACCTGAGCTGGAGCAATGGTTTGACTGCGTGTGTGTGTGATGTTTTCGTTTCTTTTTTAGGACTTTCCCAGTTATAATCACTGACCTTGTCAGAACCAGTACTTTGCGCCGAGACCAAAGGCTGGTCCTAATGGGGCAGAACATCAGTTTTTTTTTTTTTTGAGCCTCCAGTTAAGTTTAGAGCTGAGGTGTGAATTACCATTTGGTTTTAAATGAATGTTTGTCATTAACTCGCCAAGGTTAAAGGAGCAGTAACTATTTTGTTATCCTCCTAGAAATGAATAGAATTCAGTGTTCCTGAACAAACTCTGGCCTGGTATGAATATGTTTTTGTAGGACTGACACGCTCTCCTAATAACCTGAGACCACACAGCTGGGGGGGGAGGGGGGAGGGGTTATCAGGTCAGCTGTACGGAAACACAGATGTCTACACTCAGGTCCTCCCAACAAGGTACGGGGGCGACCATTATTGGTCACAGTGACCCACAGCCGTGCCAGTCATCCATCAACCCATAAACCAAAGAACACAGGAGAGACACCGTCTCCAAAGGCAGCCTTTTGTCCCCCCACAGCACCCCCTACCATCACACTAGCATTCTTCTGGCTTTATTTTCTTAGTGGGGAGAAAAAAAAGAGGAGAAAGAGAAAAAGGTCATGAAGAGAAGAAAGAAGAGAAGGTCCCCCACTCTCTAATGGCTGGGGGACCTGAGACGCAGCTGCCGAAGAAGAAAGAGGAGAAAGATTGATAAACAACGAGAGAAGGACAAAAACAACAAATATATTTGGAAGGCAGGTTAGCAGGCAGGGTGGCTGGTGGAGAACTGCTCCCTGATTTCCAGAAGAATTTAGTGGGTGTGGTAATTTCTCATGCAAGTGTGTGTGTGAGCATGTGTGTGAAGGCCAGGCTCTGGTTCAGCGTCATTCCCAAATTACTTCGACACCCCAGTGATAGGCAATCATGATTATTCATCCTGTCATCACTACAGAGGAGCCATTTATTGCTGGACGTTGATGAGTGAATGAGGAGAAACTGGAGAGACTGCACATCAAAAACCACCCACAAGGAAGAAGAGACAAAAGAAACTGTTGAAGGGGGGGGGGCAAAGAGCAATTTAAGAAAGAGGAGAGGGAACAGTTTTTGGTGCCTGCCAACTTGCTGTAACATGATAACGCTTCAGATATGTAGCAGGGGAAATTTACACTGGTGGTCAGCCAGGCAGAGTAAAAGAAAAGACAAATGAAAAGGAAGAAGAGGGGGGTAATGAGGAGGGGGGGGGGTGAGGAGCGGACTGGTTTTGCGGACGTCAACGGAGCTACGAGTGCATGTGGGAGAGTTCGAAGCCAGGGAGCCAAGTGCGTGTGAGGGCTTTCCGTGGAAGTGCTGGAAAGGGGAGCTCTTTTGTTCAACTGGGAGCGGAGGGAGGAGCACCGAGGTAAGGGAGGAAAGTGAGGGAGGAAAAGGAGTGGAGGGAAGGAGGGATAAGCTACTGATGGAGAGAGGGGGTTGGCGAGTGTAACTTTGAAGAAATTCTACCCCTCTGCTTGGACTGCCAGCACTGGGGCCAATAACATTTTTCATCTGTGTGTGCATGATTATGTGTGTGTACATAAGCGCTGCGCGGTGCACACGCATGCACCCTGGCAAGTGTGTACCAAGTGTGTGTTTGTGTTAGCACTGAATGCATTAGACAAAGGCAAGTCATAAAAACAGCTCAGGTCATCGCCGGACTGAAGATGGAAAAACGCGCGGCCTGGTGCAGCGCGGGGCCGCAGAGGTCCTGACGATGGCATGCGGACAGGGCAGCGACCCCCTACTTTAATCTTACCATGAACAACGTGATCTTGTTCCAGTTACTCTGAGACAACAAAGCACAGCGCTGCGATCCATATGCTGCCCGGAATGTTTGAAGGCAGCTTATTTATGTATAAACCTATATCCTCACTTCAGGATGAAATACTATTGGCTCCACATTACACCCCCGCCCCCACAAACCTCCCCCCGTACACCCACCTCCAAGGTTGGACGGCCTTGTTTTAATTTGACAACCATGAAGTTTCCAGCTTTTCAAAAAGGGGTCACGAACCCAGGAAGTTGGGAGAACTTTGGCTAAAGCCAAAGTGACACTGTGTTACTTTTATCTCAAAGAATTAACATTTTATCTTGGAGCTCCAATAACAAGTCTGCTCACAATGACCTGTGCTGCTGCCCCCCCCACACACACACACACACGGTACAAGAGGCTAATGTGAGGTCCCTATACATATGTGTGAATGTATAAAACTGAGCCGCTCTGCTGACTTTATGACGCTAACTTTACATTTTATGCTCCTCCTCTGCTTCCTCTGTTACTTACACTTACTATTATCCTTTAATTGCCACTTGTGGGCACACTAAACACTAAACCGACTGTATTTGTGGCCTGTAGTATTTGTTTTTTCCGTCTCTCAACTAGAGCTTGTAATTTCCATTTATGCAGCTATTACTATAGTAAGTATTACTGTAGGTTATGCACACTAACAGCATGAAGTATTGGGAAACTGTTTTTTCGAAGGTACGGTGACATAAAACTTTTTCAAGTCAAGTTTTGTGAAAGTTCAAAAAATTTTGCTCCTCCTGAAACCAAACTGTCCAGCTCATTTTTTTTCTTCAGCTTCCAATCTTTATGTTGGCTTTGATTCCTGAGAAATGAGCTCAGGTTGGTGCCCAACCACCAAAAGTCCTTACATTGAAATGCTGGAAACACTTCAGACAGTACGAATCCATCAAACCAGTATGGACAGTGTGTAGGGTTTTCTTATCCAACGCTTAAAAAAAAAAAGTTTAAAAACTAGTCAAATTGTCAAACAGTTGCTCTGTGACTGAAACCAATACTACAGTATTCTCATATAATATATGTACACATACAACTGCACCCCCGCTGTGTATTTAGATAACTTTTCATAGGCCGCACGTACAGCGAGTTAGCCAGGGCCATGAACAATGTGGTTTATATCAGTCTATTTCTTCCACGCTAATCTTGCACGTCCATCCTACTTAAATTATATTTAACGCAGAGCCCAGGAAATGGAGCATGATTTTTTCCTGCTCTCTCGGCCAAGGTCAGTTTCCCCGTGGACTTCAACAACGGTGGCTAATGCCAAAGCCAGATGGCCTGTTTTTACTGTACACTCTTTTAACTCCTAATTAGAATGCATATGAGCGTGCACGCACTCACACGCACACACAATCATCTGAGAAGAAAGCGTGAAAGCCTGCAAATATAATCAAGGTGCTTGGAACTGGGGGAGAGCAGTGTTACGACGGATCGGAGGTAAAGAGGCAGCCCCGTGTGGTCAGATCAGGTAGTGAATGTATTGGCTCATACGCACAAGCCCAGTTTCGTGTTGACTGGTTGTTGCTGCGGCGAGCCAGAGCAGGACATGGCTCCCTAACAAAGCCTCTTAGTATTGGAATCATCTTTAAACTAATGTAAGTCAGTGGCTGAAGATTATCTCAAAGCCTGGTCGCTACAGAGTCGGAGGTCTCGGCCTGGTCCACACTGCAGAGACCGAACACTGAGCGCAGCAGTCAGAGGAGCAACGCTCCCTCCAAACACTCCCCACACAAATAAAAGCAATGTATCATTTTGTAGCTGAGCAGTGAGATAGTTTGCCCTGCTTTGTTAGCGGGCTCTTTGCAGGCAGGGTGATTCATGTATGCACCACTTTAGCCGCTCCGTGTGTTTCTACAAATCTCTTGAGAAAAGCTTCTTATGCCAGGAATATAAATGCAACAGGAGTTTTTTTTTAAAGAAAATCTACCCAAAAAGCCCAGCTACTGGCTGGGAGTCTGGCATTTCTAAGTCTAAAATTGTTGTTTTGACGATGTATTTTTGCTATTTCTGTCGGGACTTAACGGAGGTTTAATTCCTACTATGTGGCATGGAATACAGGGAAATCATCCCTGTGAGGGTTTGGAGTCGGAATCAAAGAGGAGAGACTGACCGGCAATCATAGAGGAGAAAATCCATCAAAGAGAAAACAGTTATCATTGGAATCTCTTGACAGACCAGAAGTCAGTTTAGCAGAGCGAGAAACAGCGTGGTCTAAACCAGGGGTCTGTAGCTCTATTTCACCAACCAATAAAACTCGCATAAGTCAGGCAAAAACACTTCAACCATTCAAACGATGGAAGTAAAGCAGTGTTGACAGTTTGTTGTTGGGCCACAGGAAAATACGCCAACAATATTCATATAGAGTTAGTATGCAATACACAGCATGCTCCACTCACTACATCCCCAACAGTGAACTGAGGTTAAAAAAAAAAAAAAAATCAGCCATTAGCAAGCAACAAAAAAATAAACCTGGGTAAATCTTGATTTTTGTGATTTTATAATTTATCGTACCGTTTAATTTGATACACTGATCTGGTTAATCTGGTGCTAATTTGGAGCCAATGAACCAAATGTTGCCCAGGAGCCACAGGTTGAACACCACTGGTACAATCCAATACATTAGTAAATTAGAGTTAACAACACAAAATTATTCAAATGTTAATCCACATGAGCCGCTAATGAAACTTTTCTAATGGTATTCCTGTCACATGTTCCAGCACGGAGTCTGTCTCTAAATGACATCCACTGCAGATTGAATTTAACAGCTTATCTACAGCGTATAATAACATTATCAATTGTTAAGAATGTGCGAGGGCCGAGCTAACAAACGGTAACAAAATAAACATAACACCATACATTCCTCCACAGTGGCTGTATTCTATTTTCCTCGCTTTTCACATCATTTTAATGCAGGAAATAAAAGAATGGACAGTGGAGTAGGACAAAAGATGCGTTCAGAGGAAAAGAAAAAAACAAATTATAAACCTTCCTGGAGGCTAAAGACAGTTCCTCCACAGCAACCGAGTGGAACTTTTATTTAAAGGCATCGATTTAGCTATTGGCAATCTACATCAATCAAAACAATGCTCTGCTCTCTCTTGGCATCATTTCTGCCTTTGTGGGGTCTGCATACTGGGTCTCAGATTTTTGTGCAGTATTTTTTTTTATTAAATGCAGTAAATAAATAGAAGAGGAAACAGCTGCCAGTCTCCTAATCCCTTTGAGTCATTCAAAGAACTCCTTCTGCCTCGAAAATAAAACTCAGTGAATTCCTTAAGAACTTACCAGGTTTGGTGTCGGACCTCGGCGTGATAAATATTATGGGACATGTCAGTAATGAGGAATGAGGGCCGGCTCTGTTGTATGTGAGCAGGAAGCAGCTCGTCATGGTCGTGACCTACAGCTCATCAGTCACTCACCGTGACTGCGCCGCATCAACTTTTGCCAGTACCACTGTCAAAGCCCGGCCCCCGATCCTGAAACCATCCATCTCTCTTTTAACTCTTTTTGCCACACCGGCTTTCTTTTCTTTGTTTTGTTTTTCTTCTCTGAGCCCTCTTCCTCCTTTTACTCTCTATCTTCTCTTCATCGCACTTTGACAACACACACCTTTTCTCTCACTCCCAACCGTCAAAGGTGTTTGCCAGAACTTCAGCCGTGACAGGACGCAGCTGTCCATCAGCAGGGCCCTTCATTTGTCTCTCTTGCGAGAACTCGCTACGTATTTCACATTTAGCTTGGACCGTGTCCAGTCGAAGCTGTGCGCTGACGTCCACTGGCAGACAGTAAGAGACGAATAAAGAATTAAAATCATCGTTCACCGTGGTCTTAAGTGACAGCAGGCAACGACTGTTTCTGGAACTGTTTCTAAATGTTTGACTTGGGTTTCGCATGTTGAAGTTGTCCTCGGTTGTGTGTGCTGCGCAAAGAACACGTCAATTGGACATCAGCTTCAGGGGCTCACACACAAAGAGTGAAAATTCTCATTTTTCACTTCTCACTTGTTGGATTTAGTTCTCCGCTATAAGTGTTTTATTTTTTGGACATTGGAAAATATCTGCAAATATTTTGGCACGTGTTGACTCGCTGTGGAAACGGAGGGAAATAATCTTATTACACTGGCATGTTTGTTCATTTGTTTTGAGAAAATAAGATTTTTTTTTTTTTACTCTATTGCAGGCTCAATATGTTTGGGTTGGAAGGCTTTGTTTTTCAGTGCAAGTTAACATGACATACACACAACAGCCTAGGGCCTGGGAATCTTTACACACAGTTTTAGTATTCCAGGCACACAAACACATACCAGCACATACTCTGTTGCAAACCAAATTATACACACACACACACACAAAATGACAACCGCCTCAACTCTCTCCTACTGCGATTTCCATTTAGCTGGAAGAATGCCGACACCGCTATAGCTGCTGCAAAATGAGGCTAACCCCAGAGCTGTGGGCCTGATACTGGGCTCCAAGACCAGAGGGCGAGTCAAGACAGGAAAGAGAGGATGATGAGCATGGGTCCAGAAGTTGCACCGATGTTACGCACCTCCGCAGCTACCAAAGGCCGCACACACTATTTTTTTTTTTTTTAACCGGCTGACCCACCACAACAGTCGGCTTCTCTGTGTCACCCGGGGGGGAGGAGAGATTGACCTGGCCCAGTCCAAATGCTGCCAGGAGGATTGGATGATCCTGCTTAGGCAGGGTGTGCTGTGAAGCAATCTAATGAGACACCAATGTGTGTGTGTTGGCTGGCTTTTTGCTAAGGGGCTCTGGGTTCAGCCACCCAGGGCAATCTGCCCAGTGATGCTGGGACACATGTGACCCCTTCAGACCTGAGACCTGGATTACAATCACAACCACCACCGCTGTGAATGTGTGCATTGTGTGCGCATATGCGTGCGAGCACGCAGTCCCGGGGACAAAAATAAAAAAAAATAAAATGACTCACTTGTGTGCGCCTTCCAACTGTGTAAACCCGCCACACACTTTTAATCTTTTTCACCGTAATAATCAACGCTTTAAACCAATACCAAAATCCCAAAGTCACTTCTAAAGCCCCGGGGAGTGAGGAAGTAAATTAGTTCTTTAGCCAAGCCCAGCATATTTACAACGCCGCTTTATAGCTGTTATGATGTTGATGAATGCACACTGGCCCTGCCAAATAAACTTATAATCGAGTGATAAAATAATGAATGAATTCCGGGTGGAACAACAGCCCGTGACGCCTGCCAATTTCCTCATCTGTGTGCATGTGTGTGCGTGTGCGTGCACATCTGGCCTCCTCTGTTTACTGTCTGCTAGTAGCAAATGTGTGTTTTCAATGCTCACTTGCACATGCAGCAGAGGAGATACATTAGGCCCACACACCCTTTACACACGTGTTGGACAGAGCTGGGAGGGGAGGTCGAGCCCCCCGAGGCTCATTTCTGTGTCCGTGTGCAGACATCTGTTGAGAATGTGCCTTCGGAATAGACCTGTCTGTTCACATGTCTATATTTTCAACGCTGCAGCTGCATACCTGTGTCGATCTGCCAATGGGAAGGAAGGAAAGGAACAAAGGAAGGGAAGCAAATAAGCAAAAAGAGAGGGGGGGTAGGATATTGGGACACAGGGAAAACAAAAACGTAAGAAAGAACGCAAGAAGGAGAAGAAGTGCACCCTCTGGTCGAGTCCTTTCTCTGGCCTTTCCCATTCTGCCACATCAGCTGAAACCTCCGTTCACAGCTCCTGTTGCTCTCAGCTCGTAAACTTACACACACAGGACTGAAGAAAAAGAAACACAGAGGGTCGGGAGGGCAATATGGTTTATATTCTGAACTCTCTCTCGCTCTCTACCAATGTTCTTTAACCACTAGAATTCAAAAACATCTAAATGACCTACTCACTGGTTATTCTCTGATCATTTGCCAAACGGACACATTCATTCTCGAGCAACATATACCTTCAAAAAAATAATGCAGAGTACATACATTATTCATGCAAACCTGTGATTCAGGTGGATTTCACCCCAGTGAAACCGGGAGCGGTGTTTCACACCAACAAAACAAGTCGTAAACGCATGTTGAAATGTGTGGCACCCCCCGTTTGACCTACTAACACTTATTCCTCTCCGCACGCTCACTCCCAGAAAGCTTCAGAAAAACACATCTTCACTGACTTTCTTTAGATTTATTTCGGTCTTTTTCTCCTTTGTCGTGGTCCAACACTTAGCTGGGTGAAGTAGTCTTTTATCTGGCGCCAATTAGCGGGCGGTTAATGAATTATTGAGAAACAGGAAAGAGGGGGGGATTAAAGTTTAATGCAGATCTTAGGGGGAATAGTTGTATTACAAGTCACTGCAAGTCACAGAGCGGGGGAGACGCCCACCCTCAGCAGCCGTTTACAATAATCCACAGCCGTTTACTGGAGTATAGTGAGAGAGGAAAACACAGAGGAGGAGAGAACGGCGAGGGAGGGGCGAGTGGAAGGATTCTGGCCTTAAGAAAAGACACTGAAATCAAACTTGCAAAAGTGCCAACAACTACAAAACTCCATATGCTGCGATTAGAGGAGTGACCACAGCCAACATTCTCTCCAACGTACTTCATTTTCTGTTTTTTTGCAATTGTGTGGCCCACCAAGATAAACTGCAGCGTCATCAGCAAAGATTGGGTCACCCGTCACTCCGACAGTCACCCCACCCCACCCCTCGCGCTCTTCCAAACTCGTGAGTGGTAATTCAAGGTTCGATTGTTCATTAGAGCGGCCATGTAAGGCCAATAATGGGAGATGCTGAGATAAGGATAATGTAATTCTTTTGGGTTGGGGGTGGGGGGATACGGGAGTTGCTCTCCCCAAGGTGACTGTTCTGGTTCAGTTCCCTTCTCCTCGAGCACAACCTGTATTGGCACTCCAGTCTTAACTGCTATTGATTTACTTAGGGTTAGGACAGGATCCCCCCCCCCCATCTGTTTCTCACTCACCCCCGGGCACCTGCCTCCTGTTTAAGTTCCTGCCTGACCACCTCTGTGTCTTCTCTTTCAGGCTGTAGTTATTTCCACTGATGGAGGAGTCGATAAAAAGGTCGGAGGAGTTGATTAAAGCGTCTGCTGACTACAAGAGTGCAAATAAGATGTGGGGTGTTTTACTTTCTTATGTCGTTTTATGCATTTTCTTTTTGCAGGAGTGAAATAAAAGCCTGGGATGACCTGACCTCGGTCAGGCTTAGCACATCTTTGGATGCAGCTGAAGCTACGGCAGGGCAATAATTAGTGGCGAGATGTGACACATGATTTCAATTTGCCGCGTCTCTTCACAGCGTTGGAGGGAAGAGGGTGAGGGCGCAGAGGCAGATGGGTAAAAAGAGGGAAAACAGAGCAGAGGATTTGCTCACGGAGGTGGAAGGACGCGTGGGAGGAGGTTGAGAGACTGTGCAGGTGAAAAGTCCAAACTTCAAAGTGGGGCGTCCATTAAAGGTCCCGAGGTTAACAATGTGACACTGTGCGTGCTTCACAGGCAAGTTGTGAACCGTACATGCTCGACCCGCACCTCGCTGATACAGATGCATACTTTCCACCTCAGATCTTTACTGCAAACCAGATGTGCGTGGGCTCAAGACACTTGGACAAGCATGTTTCAGACGACTTATTTCAGCCAACAGTCAAACCCTGTTTCGTCCAGAGGCTGCTGAGGCACAAGGACCGTGCAGCACACAGAGAATGCGTAAACAGAAATGTGTAAAAGCCCGGAACATAAAGCAGAGGGATGACTAAGCTGATTAAATATGAACGCTTTGCTTCATGAACCAACTTTGAGCTTCTACAATGTATGTATAGTATTTCTCTGTCAAAGCCACATCCCCTCCAATTGCCTGCCAGGCCTGTGGGCCAAGCCCTGACACCCACCCACCGCTAAACTCTATCAGCAGACAATGGTGTGGAATCACCTGTAAGGCCTCAAAAGCTGGGGCTGTTAGCTTCTCAGTGGAAATTACCCTCCCATGTCCTACTCCCCAGTGGGCGAATCCACCCACTGGTGACAATAAGCCCTCATTAAGGGCTTCATGCCTGGCTCCACGGCAGGGGCCCACGACTGTCCCATCAGTCGGAGAGGGGAAATACTAGGCAGGCCATAGCCTGGAGGGTCATCACGGACACGTTAAAAGCTGTTGACCTGGATGAGACCCGGACATGGGGGGCAGGAAGTGCTTAGCTGCGGGAAATAAGCTTGCATTTTTTTGAAAGAAATGATCAATATTTGGCAGATGAGTGGATCAAATGTAATTAGCATTTGGTGTTTATATAAAATACATAAAAATAGGTTTGTCCTAATTGGTATTTAGACAACGTGAAAATTATAAGTATTAGGTTATTTTATTTATTTAATTATATATTTGAAGTATTTATTCATTTGTATTACTACAAATGTGTTCTTTTTAATTTTTTTAAAATTATTTATCAACTGACTAGCTGCTCTCTTGAATGCTAAAGTATGAGATTAAGCTGGGGTTTTTTTTTTCAGAATTGATTTGTTTTATTTAAAGATATATCACTCAAGCCTGTAAATAGATTTTTAAAGAGGATTTGCCATTGCTTTACCGACTTTGTTTTTGGTTATTCATGTACATTTTAAAAGCAGTAAGAAACATGAAGCTAGCTTACAAAGACAACTCTGGTTCCGTCACTTGGAAAACTGTATTTTAATCAAATTTCAACTCAAAATACCATTGATATATTTCGTACTACTGCCACATCACAGGGAGTTTTCACAAAATCCCAGTCCTAGTTCTCAGACAGGCCAGCAGGGTTGCTGTCAATAAAATCCATCTCTGCTGCACACACACACTGATCCGATTCAGGGAGAGGGAGAATTGGCAGTGTTAGCCAAGTGGTGTCAGCCATTAAGGCCAAACAGCCCAGAGGTGTTTAAAATGACATTTCCTCACCTGACACCTTCTGCCGAGGAATAGAAGAAGAGGAAGAACAAATGCAAATGAGCAGTGCAGGTGGAGTGGACACACCGTGGGTTTGAGAGGCCCCAGGGCCAGGGCCTGGGATTCAATCAAGGTCATTCAGCAGTAATTATGAGCAGTAGGGAGGCAGACCCTGGACCGTATTATAGGACACAGAGGCGAGACTTCCAGCTCCAGAAACTTTTGCAGAACTACAGGGCGATTATCCAGAATAATCAAACTCAGACCAGCTGTGGAGGGAGCACAGCAGCCAGGTGTACACATTTATCAAATCACACCAGGAGCAAATCATTTGGCTAAGTAAAGGTATTATTAATAATAAATCAATATACTGGAACTGCTTAAGTCTGTTGCATTATAGATCTTTACCCTTTTTTTTATAGAGCAGTATTTCAACCGTATACTATCACTGCCCTGGAGAGAAAAACCTAGTTCACATTTCCAATTGTAATTGTTCCAGCACGCACGTGCAGCTGAACAACCAGTAAAACCACAGAAGCGCCTTTACCTTTCGTTTAAGGAATTCCAGTAGATGGGCTCCATGTTGCTGGCCGTCGTTCCCAGTAAATCCAGTAAGAATACCAACAGGATTCCGAATCCATTCCCATTTCCCCGACTCGCCATGTCACCCCCGACTCCCTGCAGCAAGTGTAGCCCCATGTAACCAAAAAAAACAAAAATAAAAACGGAAAGCCGTATATTTTATAGTTTCAGCCGCTGCTGCTGTTGCGCAGAGACTCTAAAAACAACTACGGTTGGAGCAGCGCCGGATCAGGCTGAAGGTAGAGGCTCAGACTGTGGGGAGATGTGCCAACAGAAGTCCACTGCCGTTCGGATGCAAATTCACGGTTGTTTGTTTGGATTTGTTTTTTGTTTTTTCTCAAAGTCAAGACAGAGAAAACACGCACTCAGAAACTTGGTCGATCGGCGCGTCTCGGCTTCTCTGCGCGTCCTCGGCCGTGGCTACTTCAGTGTGAACTCCATGACTCGACACCGACTCAATTCGTCTCTAGTCCTCCTTTTGGGCACACAATTAACTCCACCGAATTCAAATTGGTGAAAAGGTGTCGCCTCGCAGCAGCTATTTCTGTCGCCTCTCGGTGCGCCCTAATTGTCTTTGGTCGAACAATGTCCCCTTGTTTACTGAGCCCACTTTGCGTGATTTCTCTCCCAGGACCTTGTTTTCTCTCCAGATCCACGTCCCAACATATCAGGCTGGACTCAGTGGCTTTATTGTCCGTCAGTCGGATGAAAACACTGTGCGTTGTTTTGGTTGTTTTCTTTTTCAAAAAATCACCGATTTGGGTCTCGTCCACAGCCCCATCCTCATGAAGACATGTTGATGCTCGGTGGACTCAGTCCGCGCGCACTCCCGGTCCTGATTCTCTCTCTTTTTTAAGAACAAGAACACAACTGGCGAATCATCCAATCCTCCAGCAACAGATTGAATAAAATAGAAACAATAGAATAAAATATGTTCCAAACGGATGATAAATCCAAAAATTAATGAGTCACAGCAGAAAGCTAGAAAGGCATCCCCGCTTTAACAATGTCTCACCAAGTCCAATGGGAAACTTGCGGTGAAATTAAAAAAGAAAAAATGCTGATAAAGTCAACGATGGGAGCATCAGAGTCTGCGGGTGAAGGACGCTCCTCTCATGCCGCGCATCATTCGGAGATCTGGACGTGACGCGTCTCCGCCAAAAGAAAGCGCTTCTGTAGTGCTCTCCTCCGTTTCTCCGCTTCACAACCCAACTGCTTTGACTTGCCCTAATGCTCGCAGCACATTGACAGACCCACAGGCTGGTTGGAGTGGAGGAGGAGGAGGAGGTGGAGAAGCGAGAGGAGGAGGGACGCAGGGGACGTGGATGAATGAGGGGGAGCAAAAATCCCCATCCTTTGACTGGCAGGCAGAGAGCGCACCGAGGGAGCGCGGTTCTTCCAGGGTTTTTCGGGTGTGCGGGCACCGTCAGGAGCGCTTTCCTGCACCTCCTCACCGGGTTCTGGAGGAGAACCGGATCTGGACCTCAAGAAGAAGAAGAAGAAGAAGAAGAACCGAGCTCACCAACCACGACTACCATCACCCATCTCCTCACCTTTCTCCTCTCACATCACAGAGCGCCGCTGCCAAACTCTGGAACGGAAGAGCAAGAGCGCCCCCACTCCATGTGCAGGGTATTACACGAGACACTGAACTGAAAAAAAACCCAGCTTCACTGTGACATTGTCAAGTTTTTATATAGAATATCAAATGTTAAGGTTTGTTAGAGGTGTAATGTGGCGGAAGGCAAAGCAAAAGTTCACAGACTCCACGTGACGACGGTGAGTCTGTTTACGAGAGAACTGTTCAAACAATACAATAATGAGGGTAAACAAAAGACCCATGACGTCAGCCATGCATGGTCACTGGACTGGAGTCACCTCATTAGTCTGCAGTTCAGTCTAAACAAAACACAATTCGCTTCTTTCGCCCTGTTCGCGTGTGTGTGTGTGCGTGTGTTAGGATGTGGTACTATCTTACCAGAACACGCAGTACCAGCACTTCAAAGTACTTTCGTTGAGTTTGATGATGTGCAGAACTAAGAAGATGACAGACCCAGCTGAGTGCCACACAAACACACACGCGCACACAGCAGTGTGTATATACTGAATGCCGGGAACACTGATATTTATCAGTCAGCTCGTTCTCTCCCTCCGTCATCCTCTCACCTCAACTCTTCACCATCTTGACTTCGAACGTGAACTGTACAGCCACATCTTAACCCTAAAACTTTTCGCTTTGGTCTCACCTAACATCAACATATCTTTCTTAAAATTACGACTTCGAACCAGGACTAGTCCTTACACCCGGAGAAAGTCACTGAAAAAAACAAAAAAAATGAATGAAAAATAATTCGGAGGCTACCAAAAGTGTAGCTGTATTGCCCCCATGTGGTGGATGCAGGGCATGATCAAAATGACACTCGTGTCATCCGAGTGGAGCTTGATACTGTACGTCCATACATTTGTGCAAATCTGGGCCAGATTAACGATACATTACGGTAATTACTGCCTCATTCGGTACAATTTAGTCTCCTGCTAAAATGCATTAAAATAAAAATAAAAACACGATTATTAAATCGGGATTATGTAAAGTGTTTTTTCTTTAAATGGATAGCCAAGCTTTACTGAAATTACAAATTATAAACACTGTAACGTGAGTGATGGTTCACATACACTGGCAAAAAGATTGTTTACAGGAATAAATTACAAACTCAGTCCAGCCATAACATTCATCCACAGCTTCCAGGACTGTCTCTGGTACTGAAGTGAAGCAGGTTATCATACCTATGAACTACCATAGTCACCGCACAGGTATAAACTGAGCTGTAATATCTTTTTATTGAAAATATTCCCTCAGAAAATAAGAGAAAGGAACAAACCTGCAGCACCACAAACGCCGCCTGCTGCTGTGGCACAGACAGCACAGGAGGAGAAGCAAATAAACGAGAGTGAGACAAACAGAGGTAGAAAAGAAGTTATGGGGGAAGAAGAAAAAAAATCATTCTCCAGAACAACATGCTCCGTACGGGCAAGGATTTGGGCCTAAACCAAGGGTCTTTAGGCTGCGTGATGAATGTGTGAGGGCGACTAGAAGCACGGGCATTCATCCTGTGCTATGAAATTACAGCGTGCTTCCAACAAGAATCCTAATTGCAAGTTATGAGTTCCGAACAAGAAACAAACACAGCTGGGAAGAGGGGGAAAAAACCAAGGCGGGAGAGAGGGAAAATGGAGAGCAGAGATGTAGCCGCTTCTGCCGTGACCTGCGGAGACCTCGGCGGGACACATGACAGAGCTAAACGTAGTGGGGAAAGGCAGACTGCTTTACAAACAACGGCGGTTCAGAGGTGAGGCTGGCACCGACAACGACAGTCCTGCCCCGTCGGGAAATCTATGTGGACGCTCTTGTGGCTCTGGCTGTGTGCTGAGAGCAGCCAGGATGAGTCAGAGTGGAAAAAGTGCAGAGCTATAAGGTACCCAGCACATCAGATGTGCCAGTGTGCTGAATAACTGAATGTATTATCTGAGGTGATGTATGAGCGGGATGTGGGAATGTGAGATGTATTCATCTGGATAATATACACTCAGAGCTGCCATGCCTGTGTTTATTAGCGCTCATCTATTTACACTGACCTCATTTACTGCGCTGACCTTCAACTCTTCTTCATCACGGCAGCCGCTCCCCGGTGACTCCCCGACCACAGACCGCTCCAGCTGCCAGACAACACACACAGACACACACACTTACTTAGACATACAGTGAGTGTATACAGGCCTGCTATAAATACACACGCGCTGACACGCAGACCAGCACGCAACAACACTGCACATCCCATTCATGCTGCTGGTTCACAGTACAGGCAAAATATCCAATTATAGTGAGTGCACGTAGCATTCGAATTAAAGTCAACACACACACACACACACACACACACACACACACACAAAGCAGCACCTGCAGTGGAAGCAATACAAAAACCCCAGACAGAAAAACATGCACCCTGATGAGGATGAAATTCAGCCTGAGGGTGGTAGAAGACTGTGTGTGTGTGTGTGTGTGTGAGAGAGAGTGTGAAGATGTGAGTTGATGAGAAGCATGGCACCCACGCCCGCCTGGCAGGTGATAGATCTCAGCTGCACATCTTTATCCTTCAGTATCTGTCTATCTCTGTGAGCTCTGTCTCTCTATCTTTCCATGACAGAGGCTGGAGGGAGGGGGGTGGGGGGTGCAGTGAGAAGAGGCCTGTGGCTATGTGCAACATGTGATCACACCTATTGCTGGTCCCTCCTGCATTGGTAAACATTCTTTACCTGCTGCTTGCAGACTCTCACACACCCACTCCCGTCTGTATATGTGCACACTCTTTGTGCCGGGTTTGATTGGACGTTCCACTGGACGCTCTACTGGACGTTCCACTGGACGTTCCACTGGCCACAGATCTACTCTTCTCCAAGTTCTGGAGCCACCGCCAAACTTAACCTCACCGAGTTCTGATTGATTCTTCTGGCAGGAAACACTGATCTCAGTTGTAAATTTTCGTCCCAAATCTGTCTCTTCTTGATTTTTTTTTTTCCTGACAAAACCTGATCAATTCCAAGCACTGTACCTGTTATTGCTCAACACTACAAAGGAACGTCGCAGCAGGGAACGCCAGAAAAACCAGAGCGCTGAAGGATTTACAGAAGAGTTCCTTCTTTTGGGATTTAAACTGTTAATTTAACAGCGCTCTGTGCTATTTGGGTAAAAAAATATTTTTGCGATTTTCTTTTTCCTTCTGCAGTCAATTTAAGGCCAACAACACACTGCGCTTACCTTGAAATTTATTTCTAAATACTCTTTGGAGTACAACAGGATTTGTACTTACATTTTGACTTATTTCGGAAAAAAAAAAAAAAATTTTGACTTATTTCGGAAAAAAAAAACCATTGAAACTGAACGATAAAAAATACCAAATGCTATATGAAACTATTGATTTCAGCTTGTGTGTGAAATCATTATAGAATTCCGCTCCATTGAAGTCATTTCCAATTTTCTTTTCTGGAAGGAAATCCTCTGTTGTGTCCACTATCTGAATGACACTGATCAGCCCCCCGCCCGTGACCCTCCCTCCTCCAGCTACTGTAGTGAGGGGGGTGAGGGAGTATGAAAGGTGTAAAGACCAGGCAGATGCTGGGACAGGAGTTGTCCTTGTAGCCTGAGGGCAGGTAGATGGATGATTTTAGGCCCTGCTTTTCTACCTCTCCCCCAGAGTGCAATTACACAAGCAATTACCCTCGGCGGGCTTCACATTCCCGGCTAAATCGCCAAAATCAAATCCAATCTGTCAGAGCTGGCTGTGAAACCGGACGCCTGATATACATGACTAGGCTCACACTCATGATGTCTGGATATGCAGAGGGATTGTGGGAGTGCTGCAAGAAATGATGTAGGATGGAGAAGAATGAGGTAGATTTAAAAAAAGAAAAAAAAGAAAAGTGTACTGCTTTGTACAGGACCACACAGAAAAAATGAGTTTGAGACTGACAGTATGTGACTGTCGTTCACCTGTTGTAAATTTAGGACTGGGACTGATGTTGGTCAACATTAAACACTAAATCTTAGCTAACGCTCAACGCTAATCATGCTTGCAGAGCCATTATTTGGTTTGTGTTGTGCATTATTTGGAATGTTCGCAGAGCGCTGGCGGCTGTGAACCTTGGCGTAGTAAATGGAGCAGCGCCACTGGAAATCATGGGGGTCTGAGTCGTGAAGATGAACTCATGAGCGACAGGAAAAACATCAGAAATGTCAGATTCAGGAAAATTTAATTTCCATCAGCAGAGACATTTTGCCTGAACTCAGCACTGCAACCTAGTGGTCGATTGCTTAGCAACCCCACCAATGTAACACACAAATGGAGTATGAGAACACACACGTACCTAATTATCATTAATATTAATAATAATATTAACAATAATATTTAAGGTTGACATTGTTATTGCAGTCAGTTCATCATCAGGGTGAGTGCAGATCTGCTCTAAATCGAGTGCTCCGACGCCCCCTGAGGGAAGAATTGCTTACTGACCTAATTAAAATGGAGCACCACTTGTGACCTAATGACATGTCCCTCACCGTCCCACATGACTGGGACCTGGTCAGCCTCACGCTACTCTTTGAATATGGGACTGCTACATTAGTGTCAGCTTCAGCAGAAAGTGATGACGTGACAGATCTTTTCTGGGCGCTAATCGTCCCGGCCATTTACGATAGAGCCTCCTGTGTTCCTGCACATCTGGACCAAATAGAAAACGGATCAGACTGCAGAGCACTGTGAACCCCCACCCCGGCTTCAGAGCATGTGCAGGAATACAGGTGCCAATTATTTCCACATCTGATGTAAAGCGGAGAACAAGGACACGTCAATCATCGCCGCAGCCGTTTGGAATGGAAATGGGAACGTATTCTTGGGAACGTGGCTATTTTGGCAGCTGATGAGAAAGTTTGGTTGGGACTTTATAAATATCACAGAGGATTCGGGCTTTGTAATGAAAACCTCAAGTCATCTGAACTCCAGTGGTCCGTGTGAGAAAAAGAAAAACACACAGGGAACAAAGCTCCAAGTCTGATTCGTGGTCATGAAAACACATTATTTTGGGATTTATCTCCCAGCGTAACCAGTGTTAACAGGAGAAGCTATTGATCATTTAAAGAAAGACCTTGACATTCAGGGTATATGGGGGGGGGGGATCAAGACTCTCCACAGCCTTGCTGGCACCTTTGTGATGCATAGCAGAAGTGTGAGCTACAGTCGAAGACCAAATTATCACTACTTAGATAACATTTATTCTTTAAAAAAATGATTTAAGACACCAAAAATATGCAAGCCTTTTCAAAAGGAAGTTGAGACATGTCTCTGCATATAATAAGAAGAAATATCAGTCGCAAAAAACTCCAACAACCTATTTATTGAGCCCTGGCACAAACCATTGATGTGTGTTATTGTTAATACACTCCAAACCCCTGAGCTATGTCAGAAACTAAGGATTATTTCTTAGGTGTACTAACTTGATTCGATGTTAGCTAGAAGTCTGGTGAGAGCAATGTGAATAAAGGTGAAAGTAACAGATGGGAACAGAATCTGGTCAAAATAAACAGAAATTACACTTATTGGCCACAGAAATGTTGCCTACAGTAGGTTAGGAATATGACACTAGGAACACTGTCCCCGTCCAAAATGATCTGCCATGATCTTTTGAGACACTGATCTGCGATCTTCAACAGCATTTTTATCTTTTTTCCACAACTACACCAATTCTCCAAGAGCCAAAATCAGTGAAGTCAAATCGAACCAAACAGCAATGTCACAGAATGTGTATCCGATGAAATATGATGAAAACATCTATTAAATTCACCAACAACTGACTTAGTCTGCGTGAAACCAGGGCCTGTTTAGTTGAACACTATGTTGATATACTCACAGGGATTGAAAAACAAGTGCAAAGAGGAGAATTTAGTTGTTCTAATCATCACAAAGAGACGTTATTTGAGTCTCATAGGGAGCCATTGCAAAAACATTGGAGAGCTGCATGTGGGTCAGGAGCCACAGGTCGAGGACCTCTGCTTTAGGATAAAAGGTCAAAAACAGAATAATCTGGATCTTTGACATGAAATTATTTCATCAGTTCAATTCCCTAAAACCATACAATATAAAGTGATTATCATGGCGTTGATCAGTATTCAACCGTCTTCAGAGCTAGCTAGTTATTTATAGTCATTTTTATTTACGTTAAAAACTGACAACTAAACTTTCTATACATCAGCCATATGTCAAGCATTTTTAAAAACTGTAGCTGTATTAATGTGTTTTGTTATTGGTGTGTCATTGATGATTTGCCTGGTTAGACCTTAGTGTTACAGACTGTAAATATTCATAAAATATAAAATGTGTGTGTAAATAAAAAAAAAAAAATTAGAATTTAATTTTAATTGTATTAAAATGATTTTTTACTTCCAGCTTTTTTTGTTTTTAGAATTAGAACGTTGTACGTTAGGCCGTCAGCCTTATTCTCAGTTTACAGACTCAACTGATTCTTTTTACTCTGGCTCTGTTGTTGTTGTTGGGTTTTTTTTTAAACTTCTTACATTTAAACAAACCTCTTTGTATTGAAAGTGCTCTGCAGAAAACACCGGTCCTGTCATGTGGCCTAACCCTCTGAGTCCTTCATTCATTAATTCCATTAACTGAATGTTTGGTTTCCTCAGCCTCCTCACTGACAATGACCTCAAACTTAGTTTCTTTGCTTTACTTTACTCCAAGTAAAAAGGTTTAAGGAGGTTCATTTTTAAGGACTAAAGTGCAAATGGAATGTGCAAATACAAAAAATATGTTTTTAACAACAACCAAAGCATAAATAATGTTGGAAGAAATACTTACAAATCACAATCATGACAAAATCCACGAAGGCAAGAATAACAGGAGGTGCCACGAAGAAGAGCAGCTAATCCAGAGTAAGGTGGAGAGAAGTGAAGAGGAAACAAAGACAAGTCCAACATGTGTCACTAACTTCCCAACCCACAGGTACCAACACAGGTGGAAGTCATTACAATCACAAGACAGGAAGGAGGGTAAACAGGAAAGGTAACAAGAACTTCAAAATAAAAGCCACTAGTGAAGATGATTATTATTATATTATATTATATTATATTATATTATATTATTGGCATAGAGACCTTGCTTTAGTCAAACGCAACTTTATACAGAATGTTACAGAATGTTACGGACAGGCACCGGTCCACAGACCAAGGGTTGGGGACCCCTGGTGTAAGTCACAAGCCATTCTCCACACATTATTGACCATCCATTTTATACTGTTTAATTATCAAACTTGTACAAATATTATTACTTGTAGAAGTTCTAGTAGCAGTAATGTTTCTATTAGTACCTATAGTATTACTTCAGTAGCAGTAGTGGCAGTGGCACCTGTCAAAGTAGTAGAAATAGTAGTGGTTGTAGTAGTAGTAGAAATAATACCATAATTAGTAGTAGTAGTATTAGTTATAGTAGTAGTAGAAGATGTGGTATAGGTAGTAGTAGTTGTACAAATAGTTGATATATTATTGTTATTATTAGAAGTTGTAGTAGTAGTAGTAGTAGTAGTAGTAGTAGTAGTAATAGTAGTGGTAGTAGCTTTACAGAAGTGATGGTAGTAGTTGTTGTAGGAGAAGTACTAGTATGAATACTAGTAGTCATAGTAGTATTACCAACCTGCTTTTCAGAAGTGTATCATAAAGAGGAAACAGCGCACCCTAGCTGTTGACCAACCTCAGGTCTTTAATACGGCGAGAGCTTTCGCTTCAACATTTAGTTTACTCACTTTTAAAAGTGATTTTAAGGTTGTAATTGAACGAACAGGCGTCTAATTTACTCTGCTTCAAAACTTTTCCTCATTTTGCAGATAATAAATTGTAAGTGATTTACCTGAAGTACACATCTGGGTTTTTATCACCTTTTTGCGGAGATTGGATCAACTTTTTAAAAATGTAGGTTTTCATTCATGCCAGTATATAATTTATAAAACATTGTGTCATACAAAGGCATATTATCTTGTAGGCATATTACAGGAGCAAACCCAAAACAAACAAACAAACAAAAAACAGCCCTCTCCTGAACAGCTGGCCACCCCTCCTGCAGGGAACCTGAGGACGCTTTCACGTAACCATAGCAACAGCTGACCTGTCACAAACTTAAGTAGAAGACAGACTCTTTAATGAAGTCATTTTTTCCTGTTTTTTCATGCAAACCTCAGGCAGAAGATGTCTCTCTGACAAAGCTGTTTAAGACCATCTCTTTTAAACGTGACAGGAAGTCTGTTCTTCTTCTTGGTTCTGCAAACAGCCTTTTTTCATTTTGAACAGCAGACGAAGAGTGACAAATGGGAGAACGTTCTGGACGTTTAGAGTGTCTCTCCAGCTCCAGAGCTGCATGTGCTCCTCTTCTCTGTGCTAATGCAGCCCGGGGGGGAGAAGGGGGAAGGTGGGGTGGTCACAGCAGTGAGCGCTTGCTCGAGTGCTTCGCTGTGGGATTAGGAGATTCAACAGGCAGACAGCCATTTGAGTAATTGTTTTCGAATGCCTTTCTTAATATCGAGATCCCATTACTAACCAATGTTCACACTGTCCCGGCGAGGAGTGCACACAATGTGCTCGTGATTGTGTGTGTGTGTGTGTGTGTGTTTGCGTCTTCCTGCTTGTCTAATGGAAGGCACTTATGCAAAACCATGGTGGGCAGATTGAAGATGTGACATAAATGCAGGCACACAAACAGGAAACCTGATGAGGGTTGGCTCATTGAACGCACAAGAGGAAAGGACAGCACACTGCAGCTACCATTAGGATAAATGCCCGCGCCGTCATCTGGCTGACAGGGCCGCTGGGCTACAATCAAAAAGGTCTTTGAAAAAGATGGCTATCCATGCTGTTTTCTGTACATGTGACACGTGTTTAACAGCTCCTGTTATAATAATGGGACTTGAACACTGAAAGATAAACAGTCAAGTCCATACATATTAAATCCATCACATACAATTTGTGTTCGAGCCCCAGGGACCATGTTTGACAGGGAGAATGTATGTTAAATTTACCATTTGGGCTTTTGTTGTACATATCAGAAACGTAACGTAATGGATTTTTATGTCCCTGGTGGGTCCTTACACTGGAGAAGGCTTGTTTGCCTTGAGGCAAAGGACTTGATGGAATACAACAGCCCACCGTTGTACTTATTACAGCTGACACTCAATGGCCTGATGACATCACTCACATACAAATGACACATATCTTTTTTTGGGGCTTGATCTACACCTTGTATCAAGTTATTATTATTATTAACAAATGTGTTGATAAATCAGTAAATAGTTCATATTTCTTTAGTTGACAGATTACTTATTAATTATTTTTCAGTGGCGTAGGTGGAGCTGGAGCCAATCATTAATTTCCCAAAGGGATTAATACAATTCTATCTATCCACCCATCCATCTACCCATCCATCCATCAGTCCATCCATCCATCCATCTATCCATCAGCCATCCATCCAGCCATCCATCCATCCATCTCAAGGGCAGGTTCCACTCGGGACAGTTCACCAGTCCATCACATGACCACACAGAAACAAACAGCCATTCACACTCATATCCACACCTGTCATCATCTGACTTTAGCACTTTTATCGATTAGATATCTGTAGTCAAACTTGCAAGGACTCATGTGTTAATATTTTAAACATTTAAATAAAATCAAGGGTCAAAGTCACATCCTGTTTCCTTGTGCCTGACACAAATAACTGAAAAAAAAACCCCAAAACCCTCACATGTTCACATTAGTCATTTGGGAATGTTGATACTCAGACAAGTCCAGACTATTAGACAAGTAGCAACAATAACACCAGTGGCGGACTATTCCTTGCACTTGTTTGATTTTTTTTGCACCCTTTTTATATTTCTCTTTCTGTCTGCCCCCAATTTTCTTTCCTGTCGTCTTCCAACCCACTTTCCTCTCCCAAAATGGACACGGTTGCCAGGCGACCGGCACAACACAACAGTGCAGCTCCCCTCTCTGCTCAGTGCACCCCCGTGGTTTCAGACAATCAGACACAGGAGTACTACACTCGTAAAGACGGTGTGTGAGGGAAAGGTGAAAGCTATGAATAGTTTCCATCTCGCAAGTGAAAGCCAATAGTCCCGTCGGCCGTGAAGTGCTGCCTCTTGTATGGAGGGGGGCATTACCTTGCATTGGTTGGGGATTGGATTCAGGGCATCTCTGCTTGAACTTTCTTCAACAGAAAGAGGAAGAAAAAAAATGGGAGACAAGAATGAATTTGTGATGAGATATGTTCTTTTAATTCACTCCAGATGCAACAAAACCTCCAGGAAATCAGTGTTTGCAGACAGAATGATCCGTCTTTAGACTTGAATGACATGAAGGTCCAGTACCTTCCTATGGTTCTTGAATTTATTTCTCACCCTTAAACAATAGCTAACACGCTGCAGCTACTAATGCTTGGCACCTAATCGGACTTCTGGAACGTCAAACAGGAATCAGCAGAGAGATGAAAATAATTAGCTTCACCTACAAAAATATATACATATATGGCTTTGGTTGGTGTGACCCCTAAAAGCCACTACAGCAGCACAGGAATTATCTAAATGCATGTAACTAATGTAGGATCAGGGCACATCGAGTGGGGAAAAAAAAAGAAAAAAAAAGAAAAAAAAAACAATTGTAATTGTGATTCTGTACGTCAACTTTTCGCTTCATATCGTGAGTTTCGTGTCTCCGGGCTAGCTACCCTACAGAGTGTACATTCAGTTGTGAGAGTTAATGGCATGGCTTTACAAAAATATACATTTCCACGCGCGGAGCAACAAGACGACACGGCGTGTCCGTTAAAAAAGAAGGTAGAAAATAGAAGATTCCGTCAGTTTACAAAAGCAAAGCTCAAAGAGAATTGGCACTTACTGTGACTGTGGCAGTTAAAAATCTCTGGGGCGGCGTCAGAGACACACACGCGCACACAAGATAATGACCACTTGACAAACAGCTCATAATCAAAGATAAGATCATTGGGAAGACACAAGCTTCTTGCCAAAATCAGTAAACATGATTTCATATCATTTCAGGTAAAGTATTCTTCAAAATTTTAGCAGTTTAAAAAAAAACATGATAATTGAAATATCTTCTTTTTTCCACCCCCAAGAGTTCCCCACTTCTTACCTCAACCAGAAAAAAAACATTCCCCACTTCAACCAGAAAAAAAACAAAAAAACATGACCGTTAAGCACACCAAACTGTCCCAACACAGAACCCTGGGATCACCATCCTTATCCAATTCACCTACTGTTTAAAATTTCAAATGTTACATTTTTTTTTGTTAGCCTCACCGTGTTGTTTTCCTCCAAAACAAACATCAAATTACTGGTGTAGCACATTAGAGGGCGTCAGCCGCCTGAACTCCAATAGCTTCAGTCTCCACTGCCTCTGTGCTTGTCTCTGGGTTTCCCTCTGATGCAGGGCTGAGAGGTCCAGCCCACCACAGCGACAGAGCGTTGTCTTGTCGGACCTCCCGTGGTGACATCGCGGGCTCCTCCCCGTCTGAGGCCGACTCACCCTCGCTGTCGCCGGGCCAAGGGAACTGGCGTTGTCCGCTGGATGTCACCAACAGGGGCATGAAGGGGTGAACGCTGTGGGACAGAAGGACAACAATAAGAATGCCACCCCCAGCAATACCTCCAAACCCCCGAAGAGGGTATGCCCCCATGTTTTCATAGTGTAGTGGTTAGCACGCCTGCTTTGCAAGCAGAGAGTGCTGGGTCCGATGCCCAAAGGAACCACATATCCCTAATGGTGCCTCCCGTGTGGCAGCCTGTGTTGGTTGCAAAGACTCACACTGTAAATCTGCCCCTTGTGGAACAAATAAGGGACTCTCTAATTATTATTTTAAACATTACCAATATTTTCCCCACCAGCTTAAATCCCTACAGTCTTGACCAAACTTACCTGATCCCGTTGGTACAATCCCAGTGAGCCTGAAACCTCAGCTGGGGTTGTAGCAGCTCCTCATTACCATCAGGAGGCGCTGTCTGGGTGTCCCACACTGACACCACTCCTTCAGTGTCACCGCTGAGCAGATACCGGCCTGACCTACACTGCAAACGAAATGGATGAAAACCAACACTGACACAAGAAAATCTGTGGGCCCAGTCTAAAGGTGTATCTCTGGTTTTCAAGGTCAGTGATGAAAACTCACAGATTTTGTTCATGGAGTGGAGATGGAAAAACAAACAGCAAACTTACAGGTCCAGGTCAAAGTAGATGCGCTGATTAGTGGAAACATTCCTCTTGAGTGAAAACACAACTCTTCCCGGCTCCCTCAAATCCCAGCACAGGATTTCTGGATCCTGCAGTCACGGCCAGGCACACAAGTCAGAGAATACAATTTCACACACACTGGATTCCTGAAGTGTTTCAGCTAACCTTAAATGTGGGGAAAATACATAAACAGCGGTGAAAATCTTTAAGCTCTAACCCAGGGGTCAATAACCTTTTTGAAACTGAGAGCTACCAAAAGGGCATACAATAGCAGACACTTCTTCCTACCGTCACATTTGAATTTCAAAAAGCACAGTAACAGTACAAGTTTTGGCCCTGTTGTTGACTGGTTTTATTTTTAGAACCTAACCCTTTGGGCACCTTAGGTAGTCCAGAGGGGCTACCAGGTGCCCCCGGGCACCACGTTGGTGACCCCTGTTCTATAACATATTTCAATCCATTCTGATAGTTTGGTTTCTTGCAGTAAAAGAAAGCAACAGTAGCACCTCTTTAACAAATGCCAGTTTTGTTTACGTGTGTTTGAGTTAATGTGCTCACCTTGCGCCCCCCTGTGTACAGGTAGTTGCCATCAGGTGAGAAGAGCAGATGGGTGAGGCCTCCGTGATGACGGGTCGGCAGCAGAGCCAGCAGGCTGCCGTCTTGGCAGGAGTAGAGTCCAGCGCAGCGTGAGTAGGAGCCACAGGCGTAAACAGACTGGCAGGGGCTGAAGCCAAAACAGGAGATGATGCCATTTTGGCCCTGTTTCTTCACTGCAGTCAAGACACAAGAGCGAGTGAGAACGCTTCAATTCACCAGGCTTTTCTCTCAAAGACGTCGACGACACACAACCTACAATTACATGTAATCCCAATTTGACATTGCGGCATCATCTGCTTCCTAAAAAAAATAATCTATGAGCCGACGATTCCTCTGACGTGCACTCGCTCCCATTTGGATCATCTGTTTCTTTTTACGGCTCGTTCTTTTCCAAGTCATCCTCTTTCTAACTTTAAGAAAAAAAAGACACATTTTTGGCACTTTAAAGCCAAAGCCAGGGTTTGGCACGGCGCGAACAAGTATCACATAACCTGCTTTTGAGAACAACCATACATTTCTGCATAATTGGCACATATTAGTTATCAAGTACAGATAAAGGAGCCAAACACACAAGAAACCAGAGACGCGCTAATCCACCAGGGCAGAGTGTGGAGCTGCCAACATGTTGGAGTTGAAGATCAAACCTGACCTTAAAGGAATGCCTTTTTAAACAATGTTTGGCTGTTGCTAGATGCAAAGTTAAACAAAAACATGACTCACGCCACCGCCTGTACGTCCCAACATTAAACACATTTGTTGACACATGCAGAGGTCTATTGACAATTACAACTGTTAAAAATGTACAAACTGTAAAGCGATTCATATTTGAGTAAAAAATAAAAACATGATTGTTAAAAGAGAGTTCAGTCTCATGAAGAGACTGAGCAGTGAACGCCAGAAAGTAGTGATGTCATCGTCTTTCTATTTGTTTATGATGTCGGATAAATTTCCCAAATAGTAGTGAATTATGAGACCAGGCATTAGAGCATTGTTGAACTCACAGAGATGACAAAACAATTTCCCTTTCATACTAAAATATATATGACTTGAGCTGTAATTCTTTTTTTTTTTTGGTATTTCTTATGTAAAGAATTCATCTTAAACTCCCTCGTGACATTTTGATTCTTTTTAAACACTGAGCACATGGACCAGTGTTGTACGTTGAGGCTTCTCTCACGAAATGACCACATATGGAATCAGTTAAGCCCGTGACTGTGACCTAAACTGCTGTGGCTAATAACTGACCTACGGTGGGTCGCTCCTCGCAGTCCCTGCCCGGGCGATCAGTGTAGAAGACTCGGACCGTTTTATCAAAGCCGCAGTAGAGCTGGGTGCCATCCGGCGAGAAGCAGAGGGAATGAGCGGCCGTCAGCTCGTCCAGGTGGTTGTAGGGTCTGAAACTGGCCCGCACATCCCCGTAGAACGCATCCCACAGGTGGACCGGGTTGTCACGGCTGCTGCTGGCTAGACTGTGGATGTTTGGTAGGGGTTAGAAAATAAAAATGGCTCAGCTGAGATCGAGTAATAAGAATGAGGACTGAGAGTTAGCGGGCAATAGAACGGGAATAATGCAAATTAAGTGAGTGAGTGTCTACGGCACAGGTGTCAAACTCAGGCCCACGGGCCAAATCTGGCCCCGGTGAAATTATATTTAGTCCGTGAGATCATATCAAATGTGTATTAGAGATTTGTAGGATTAGCGATGTATGCACGATATTATAGCACATACATTTTTGGTTGACTTACATTAAAAGAACTCCAAAGGCTGGAGATATAGAGATTGACATATAAGAAAGGAATACCACTGATGTCTTATTTCAAATCTAGTTTCTCATGTGTTTATAATATTAAGCTTTGGTCGTTCCAGATTTAATGTTTACACAAAACTAAGTTTGTTTCCATATGAAAACAATTCAACATTACAGGAGAGTAATCACTGGAGAGAAGGGAAAACATGCACATTTCCAGTCAATTATTCAATGAATATTGAGTTGGCCGTCGTCTTCATCCCAGTTTTTAATTTTGGCCCACTGTGAGTTTGACACCCCTGGACTAAGGGGTCCCTGAGTGCTTCTTCAGTTTACATCAAGTTATGAAAAAAAAAAAACACTACAAAGCAAAATGTGATTCTCACTCAAACAGAATACATCGTTTTTTTTTTAAAATCCCTGCTGAGAATGTCTAAGGTGTGCAACATGTGTGATATGAAGATCTCTATTTCCACAGTCTAACCATAGCTTTGCTTCCTTCACCTTCATCAGAAAAAAAAAATAACAATGTGCTCTCCTGCCTCATTACGGAGACAAGGCCACAGTGTGATCTTATTGATTCAAATCTGCACCGAGGACCAGGTCGCGCCTTTTAAAGTCTAATTATTGGCAACTGAAAACAAAAAATGCCAAAACATCACTGTGGCTCAATTAGACAAAGGGAATTAGCCTCTGCCAGTGCAGCCCAGCTTGCTCATAGCCCCTCTGAGCTGCCGCTTTATACTGGCACAGGGAAATGCCCAATTATAATGCTCGACTGCTGTTAGCTTGGAGCGATGCCTAGAGCTCGGTGCAACTTAAGCGAGCCATAACAGAGGCTCTTATTCCCTCTCTACAGGAGGGGCATCATCTACAAATGGCTTTTGGCAGACAGAGAGTTCAAGGAGTGCTGGGGGATGAAGAAGAAACCAAATCGCGGACTTAAAAAAAAAAAAAGGTGAGGAGACGGACGAGAGCAGGAGGGGTAAGTAGAGAAGGTGCTGGCAACGCGCATTTTGGTCAGAGATGTGTTTTTAAAATCACAACGACCCTAACGTTTTACCTAACTGCTTTCCTCTTTTAACAAGCTACCCTGAGCCCATCTGGCCACCTAGCTTTGCTCTGCAGGAGCTCCACTCTCATATGTGGCAATGATCTAAGAAGATGAAGGCTCCTGCTGCCTGCCTCTTCCTCTTTGTGCATCTGAATCAGTTCAACATCCACACTGATAGTTTCTTTTGACAACTTGCGCCCCCTTTCTGATGTTGGTGTAGGGATCACATCTCCCGCCGGAGACAACGTGCACATGTGCTGCAGGAGTAACAATCAAAGGGTGATGTCATTAACCCACCATTCTTAAAGTCTGCCACAACGCGAGCCAACACAACAAAAGTGAGAAGATGAAAAGAGAAGTGTTGAAGTGAGAGAATCGCAGGGCCCTCTGAGTGCTGCTGGGGGTCAGGAGTGTTGTTCCTGTGCTGTATCATGCTGTCAAGCACCACGGTTTTCAAACAGCTGAGTGGACTGCCACAGAGGCCAGGGCACACAAGACAGAAGACGGCTCTCCGCTGATAATGAGAGACATCAGAAAGATTTTATGGCTTGTCTCTGGCAGCCAGTTCCCAGAATAACTGCAAATACCACTGGGATCAGGAATGAGTCACAGGTAATGAAAACAATACCTCCTACATTTAGGTGTTCTGTAAGACCAGCCCACAGAATTACAGGCTTTATACACACACACACTCAAACATAGAAACCCAGGACACAGGCATCCAGGACTGAGATTAAATACATCCATCACCAGGTGACACTGGCCTCTACAGACAACACAACGTCTTCTCTGTGACAACATTCCTCTTTGTCTGACAGGTTGACATTAAAAAAAAAAAACTTTAAATGCCTCGTCTCATCTGAGCTTAGGTTCTGACTCTAGTGCTAAGTACCAAATTTCGGCCCTTTTATGGCACCAGTACTACCGAGTATAAAAAAAAACTCCTCTGCTTCTTTCAGTGCCAAGTTTTGGTACCCAGGTGTCAATTGCAAGAAAACAAATCTGACCAAGCTGTCGGTGATTGGCTGTAACGCTACATGTGATCGTGGCATGTTGTACCACCCACAGACGGGGTTCACGTGTATCTGTGCTGGGGTCTGTAGTTGTGAAGCGAGCTGAAGGCCGGTTGCATCCAATACATGTCATTGACGGTTGTTTAGATGCGGATTAAACACTGCAATCGAGAGTGAATCTGACAACAACAGCTGCTCTAGGAACTATCAGCCTTCGCCAATGTCTTGACGGCGTGAGGTGGCAATTCATATATATTTTTTGGCAACCAGGTATCTCTGCGCAAACATTATCCTTTGACTTTACAATCCTCCATTTTACTCCTGTTAAATGGGCTTTTTGTAGAGAGGATATTAACTTCAATCTTTATTTAAAATTGTGAGGTCCACTGAGACAAATGTGATTTGCAAAATGGCTATACAAATAAAATTGACTCTGTGTCCTGAGAAAGCAGAAAAGTTAATTTTTCTGAAGAAAAACTGCCAAGTGAAAAGGTCCTCACTATGTATCTCCTACAGTTTTTTTGTTAGAATTGGAATTATAAATTTGATATAGAAAAAAGTATTGTTCAGGAACCGGTATCAAAATGAAGGCATTGGTATTGTACCTGGTATCGAAACTTCTGATTGCTACCCAGCCCTACCTGATTCTGCTGCACACTTCCAGAAAAGTTGGAATTTCCTGGTGCATTAACACTAAAAATTTTAATTTTGACTTGAGGCTACATTTAAGACCCTACCAGACACATTTGTTCTTTTTCAATGTCCCGCCTTCTAGATTTTACAACATTTCCAGGTGGATCATTTGTTATTATTAGTTATTATTATTTATTATTAGATGTACCAGTTTCTCAGACTGCCTAGATCTATTTGAACTTACAAGCATGTGTCTGGATACAAAGAGTTCATCTTTGGGTACCAGCAGTAGTCGTAGATGGTGTCGCCTTCAGCCATCCTCAGTGCTGGACTCTACCATAGGTAGACAGACAGAGACAAAAATGACAGTCAACCACAGAGCATGCAGATGGAACCTTAATATTTTGTTGTATTTCTTGGGAACCTGTAAACACAGCACATTCCCAATAGTGATGAAGGTTAGACAACAATGAACACACAGACTGTATGAATATGTATGTGCTATATATGTATTCACCATCTCTGGAAGTGTGTTCCAGTTATAGCTGTAGACCTCTGGAGGCAGGTTGTAGACCCTGAGAATGTTGTCTGCACTGTTGGTCAGGATACAAGAACCATCAGGAGCCCTGGTGTAACAGAGGGGAAAGATGGAGAAGAAAAAAATCAATAATGGAGAAGTAAAGAAAGTCCTCTGTAACTACTTGGATATTAGTTAGACAGACATATACTTGGATTTAAATAAAACTGGAAAACTGCATTTGTAAAAGTGGCGTTTCAATATTGGATTTGGATTACAAAGCACAAGGCATGTAACTCTCCTTCTATCCTGCAGAGGGGGCCAGAGAAACATTGTGAACGCCTGAGAAAGTGTCATATGAATTGAAAGATGAAGGATACAACTAAATCAATAATAACACATTTTGATACAAAAGTCACTACATTGTTACTTCAAATAACCTTAATATTGGTTAAAACCTGGGTTTATTTTACAATTTAACTTGCAATAGTACACAATTCTTAATTAAGCAGATTCAAATCAGACCCCCTTATGTGCCCAATCCATAACCATGTTGTTTTTCACCTTCATCTTCTGATCTCAAGTGCATGCTGTGTGAGGTTGGATTCTTGTAACATTACCACTTGCAGCCTTTCAGGTAATTCTCTGGGAATCCGGAGTACTCTGTCCATGAACCAGTCAGTATCTGAGGATTCTGGGTAAATTCTAAAGCAAGACTGGAGAAGGGACAGGACAAAACACATTCTTAGTTCAAGGTAAACCAAACAGAAATAACAATGGCACATATATAGATTAATAAAATGATCTACAATGCTGCCATCTAGTAACTCGAGGGTTGTTTATCGTTCATAAGGTTAATATATATATATAAACATTATGATTACAGTTCAGAGTTACTGCATTATATATACATATACGTATATATAAACATTGTGAAGATATAATCTTTAACAATAACTAACGAGACAGTTTGTTGGACTGAATTTACTTGGCCACTATTTTTACTATTATAAAAAATATAAAATAGATCGAATATCTAAAATGTACAAATGAATCAGCTGATCTGCTTTCAAAATCATATATTTATGAAATATTGACTTTTTATCATTTCTGATGTTGAGTAAGATTTTCATTCAAAGGTGCAATCTTGTATTTAATTTGACTGTAACCAATGAATGTCCTTGATTGGTTGACTGTTTTATAGTTTTGCCTTTTAAGAACAAGAACTTTTTTCCATAGACATTGATACAGTGAGTCTAAAGAGAAGAATATTTAAACACACATCAGAAGTCTGTATCTTCTCTTAACTTAGATAAACATAATGTAATAATTACATAAATACAAATATTTAAAAATCTACGTGCGTAAAAAGGTAAATACACTTTTACAGGATCATTTTCTCTCTGCTACTGTCACAAATGTCTCCTTCAGTATTTCATGAACATATGTGTAAGCCATCTTCACAGCAGCTGTACAGCACTGTTCACTCGATCTGCCTGTACCATCCTACCCCTGCGTGACCACCGCTCAGGGTTAAAAATAAACCCCACTTCTTTCTCCACTTACTGCTGTCCTTCACTGGGGCTGTCTGCAGGTTCGTTGCCATTACACTCATCCTCCTCCTCAGGGGTCTTCTTCACCTCTTCCTCCAAGTGTGTGTCGTGCCCTCCATCTCCATTCTGGTGGGATTCTTCTTCCGTTCCATGATGGACAAGTCCTCCTCCACTGTCTGGACCCTGGTCCTCATGTTGTGTTGGTTCCTCTGTGTAAAGGACAAAGAACATGTACATTTTTACAGAACACTATGATGAACCATTATTTTAAATTATGTTTCTTATTGTCAACACAAAATGTTTTCATATTTTCAGGTCCAGAAAAGTTATACTACAATAAAAAAATAATTTAAAGAATAGTCACTAGATGGCAGCATTGTAGCTCATTTTATTAATCTATTATGATAATCAGGGAATTGTATGCAGAATGCTGGTGCTAGCAACCCTTACAGTGGTTTGTACAGATAAAATAAATAAATATTACCAGGTGCGCAATACTATTTCTGTCCCTAGGGGGCAGAAAATAATTGAGAAACAATGTTTTAACCCATCCCAAATAGTTAATATCAGACATCCCTAGTAAATACTTTTTTTCTAAAGCCTAAAATAAATGTGCACTTTTCAGGAAACTCCCATAAAGCTTTTGTAAAAAGCAAGTACTTCTTTGAGGCACCTTGATGATCAGGCTGTTCTGTTGGTTCTTCATTCAACTTGGGGAGCTCTGCGTCCTCTACCACAGTTCGATCCTCCTCATTCATCCTCAGCCGTTTGGCAGCAGGAGGGGAAGTTTTCTCCAGCTCTAAGCAATCACTTTCAGGCGGAGGAGAGGTTCGTTGAGGAGGTTCACTATCCCCATCTGCATCCTGCCCTGCAGCTGCAACCCCTTCACTGTCACCGCCTCCAGCCGAGTCAGACATCTTTCTCTGTGTTTCAATTTCTATTGTCAAGTCTTCTACCAGCAGATGAAGTTTGAGTGGCTGTCAGACGTGAGTGAGGTAAGTGCTACTGGGATAGTGTTTCCTCCTGCAGTGCGAGTGTTTGAATCTGCTGAGGGTTGAGGACATCACAGCACCCACTGACCTGGGAATACAATGTCAATGCAAAAGATTTAGTCAGGGATCAGAACAGGTGACACAAATTATGTCAAATTATTATGTGCTGGCTGTGTGTGTCAAATGAAAATGCACAACACTTTTTGAAAGCATTTCACTAACTGATGAGATCAGTACAGTAAATGTTTATATTTGAATTTGTAAGAATGTCATTTTTGATCACACAAGTGCAACTAAAATGCAAAAAATATAAATTGGGATACAGTAGTAGTCCCATCTACAAAGGTGCTAAAAGCAAAGTTTGGAAACCACCGTGTAAGTCTAAGAAAAATAGTGTGTTATCTTGCATAAAAATATTTGTTGTTTCTAATCTCCCAGCGTAGAATGGTCAGTAAAGGAATGAAAATATTTCATAAATAACTCATCTTGATGCCTTCCTAACATTATACTCAAAACGTTGTTCTGACAAATAGTCGTAAAGATAGTCATTACGGAACATAGTCTCCATTTACAAACATCTAACACAACCTATCTTGGCCGAGGTGATTATCAGCATACGGTAATTTAAAATAAAATGTTTTCAAAAGCCTGAAATAAATTGTCTTTGTCTGCATCACTTATTTTGACTATACATCAACTTCATGCAGAACTGTTCATAGGAAAACTTTGCATTCACGAGTGTTTTGGGCACACTAGCAGTTTCACACAACTTCGTAATGCTTACCAGTTTATGTATGTTTTTTGACAATGCATTAACATATAATCTGAAAAGAAAATAGCACGTAGTCTGTAACGTAAGGTGAAATCTTCGAACTAGCACTTTACTACTCTGGAGCTCCACAACATTCTACTCATGTTCGATGTTCGACGTCGAGCAAAATAAACTGAAGGACTGTGAGATAGTTAATACCCGTTTAGAACCATCCGTCATCGGCAGACTCGTGAATCACCACTCCTTTCATATCGTTACCATTGCCCTATGCTAACAGTGCCATGCTACATACCTGTGTTGTGGGTTCCTCGTGCTTTTGTTCCGCTTGCTATTTGGCCTAAAGCACGCTATTTTTTGGGATTACAAAATTTAAGCTACTCCGAAAAAGAAAAGTGACACACGAGAGCACGTCGCATCCCTTTCTTAAAGGAGTTAGGTTTAATTAATCAGCTTTTACGAGTTGTAAACACTGTCAGCCGCCATGTGTTTCAAGGTATCGCGAGAGCTAACAGTGTGACGAAAAGCCAACGAGACTTGTGAGATGGTTCTAATGGAAGTACTTTTTTTTTCTATATGGCTATTGGTAGCAGCCATATATATATATATATATATACACACACATCTTTTTATTATATATATTTATTATATATTATATATATCTTTAATATATATTAATCTTTAAATACATACATAACCTTATATAAACTTTTTCTATATAAAATTACTGTTTATATATGTATATGTGTATGTGTATGTGTGTGTATATATATATATATAAATAATATATGGACTGTGCATATTATTGCATGTTTTTCCACATGAATAAAAGCATAATAAAAACATGACTCTTTCAATGCTAAATGCTATTTATTTAGTATTTATTTTGTTCTTCAACCAAACAAAAAACAAACTATTTACAGATTTTTTTTTTTAGTTGTTCTTTTCCAAAACAGTTTCATAACACATGTGCTGTTATTATTTTACCAACATTCAAAGAGGAAAAGGAGCTGAGCTGATTGTCGGATGCATGTCCTTGTGTTACTTTACGCCAATATGGTTGAGGTTGAAACCAGAGTAACAATAAATCAGACGATCACCTTCACACTCTTGGCAGTACGACCATGACAGGATTAATTTGTCATCGACAACCAATTAACACAATACTGCAGGTTGTCTACTCATAAAAGCCTTTGTAGTTCAGTAAAATAAACTGCAACCAACTACAGTGAAGGAGGTGCAGGACAGACCTACTGACCAGCGACTAATACAACATACTATCTGTTTTTAAAATGTCTAATCTTATTTTATTAATTATTTATAATTGAGTATCCCCTCCGAGGAGGCAAGTTCCCTTTACAGCAGATGACGTTCTTTTAGAATCTCAGCCAATCAAAACGTTTGAATGTAATACTCAGTTTTTAGCACCGAATGCATTGTCTTTCAGATTTAAAAAAGAAAGAAAAAAAAACAGCATATGGTTTACCAATTAAGGATGCAAAAAGGAAGCATCTGCCAAATTGACTAAAAGCATTCATCCATCCAAATCCAAACACAATAAGACACTATCTAACCTCTTCAGTAATGGGATTCAAACCAACACACAAGACAGTGTTTGAGCCCCTCCTTCTTTGGTGCCTCCTGTAAGGGTCAGCAGCCATACCAGGGTCACAGACAGAACCATGGCCACCTGAGGCCATTGTAAAAACCATTTCAAGGTTTAGTGTCAAACCTAAGACCCCGTTAAAAGTACCTTATACAGTTCAAAAAGGTGTGTGGAGTGTAAAAAAACACCAAACTTCAATTCCAATTGGTTCAGAGACAATGTGTCACTCTGGTTCCGTTTTGCCAGTAGGACTAATGAGACAGCACAAGGGTGTGCATCCTGACACAGCTCAGCTCCACAGCACAGACTTGTCTGCACTTTTTACAGGAATCTACAAAAGTAATCTAAACAAATCCACTCATTTCAATGGGAACCAAAAAGGAAAATGGAACCAAACCACCAGCGCAGTCATGTTAACCGACGACTGTTTCAGCTCTGCAGACAACTAGTAACTTCCATGATGATGAGATGCACGGTTAATGTAAATAGACTAGAATGTTCTGTCAACAAGCAGACAAACACTCTGAATGCTGAACAATCTTCTCTGACAGTTAACAAGGTGGTTTCCAACTCAAATTCACCTTTAACTTTTTTCAGTTAGCCGTTCAGAAATTAACTACACAATTTTAAGGCATGTTCAACAGAGGAAAAAAAAGGAAGAAAAAAAAATCAAAACACAAAGGCTTACATTATTTACAAAGCTCGTCATTTATAGTGACGACCATCGATGCTTGTGTCTGTTGTTGTGTCTGTTTTGATATTGATCTAGCCCTGTTGTGTGAGCAGACGGTTCCAGGTAAGAGCCAATGTAACGGAGAGTACGTCGTTTCATGCTCTATGTGTGCATGTAGTGTCTGCCACCCCTTTGGACTTCAGGATCTGTGACATGTATCTATGTTCTCGTGTTGTAATGCGTTTTTAATAGTCTTTTTGTACAAATATTTCAGTTCATCCAGTTCCACGGATGCAGGGATTTAGAGTGGCCAAGATGTCATCCAACCACATCCACCAAAACCCAAATAAAGCTCTCCTGTGAGTCGGGCGGCAGGGGTCGGGGCTCCAGTCAAGCTAGAAGACCACGGTTAGAATTCCAAGTGTTGTGGATTGAGGTGAATGGAAACATCCAGGCAACTTGTGTTCCTTTAGACACATGACAGGGAATTCCACAGACAAGCTGGACCAAACATTTCTAGGCGTCCACAGTTGATAAACCTTTATCATCCAACAACTGTCCAGCTCATGCTGCCAGGAGCCCCCCAAGTCCACGTTGAAAACAGGAGAGTGTCTAGGGGTTTAAGTTCTAGGTAAAGGACCTGGTCGACTGGTTCATGAGTTGGCTGTAGATTAGATCCTCATAGTGGAGGGCAGCAAACAAAGGGCAGCCAGGAACCTGTTTCAGGGCAAAAAAGCACAAGACATAATCACCGTCATCATCATCACCATCAAACACTTGTAGCCTTAACAATCTGGTTATTTAAAAAAAAAAAAAAAAGGGTCACAACGGGCACAGATATAAAGACAAAATAGAGCAAACATATCTCACCAATGACAAGAACTTTTCTTCCCGCAGTAATGCTACAGCTCTCAAAACAATCACCAGATTAGGAGACGCATCTCCAGTTTCTTTGAACCAACGTCTGCCTCCTTGTACGTTGGCAAACACTCTTGGTGCAGCATCCTCTTGGATACGTAACTATCAGTCAATTTGGAGACACTGTAACATGTCCAGCACCTTAGTCCACGTTTGCTGTACTTTTCCCTTCCGTCCATGGGTTTTCCAGGGTCACTGGTAAACTATGGGAAACTCACAGCGAATCAAAACTATTTTCAAAAAACGATTGGGTTTTCTCAAAGAACATTCACTCAATATATTCAATGTCCCATGAATTTTTCCTTCATCCATTTGTAAATTTTTCTTTCTACTCTGAAAGGTAATACAAAAATATGAATATATATACAGGAGGTGGGAGAAGACACGCCTCTTGAGTCTCTCACTTTTTCAGTTTGGGAATATCTTTTCAGTGACATCGTCAAAGTCATTTGCGATCCTCCTGTTGTAATTGTGCTCCCATCCCCAAAATGGTACCTCACAGCTTGAATAAACAAAAAGTGCATAGGTGAGTTGCTGAGGGCAGGGTGTGTGAGTGCCGACGAGGGTAGAGGTTAAAACAAGTACACAAGACAAGTGTACTCATATCGCCCTCTCAGATCCTCCAGGGTTCTGTAGCCCTGCACTTCACTGTCTACAAAACAGTCCATTCTTGATTTATCCACTTCCACATTACGGTAGATCGGCAAGTCTCTGGATCCGCGATCACAGACTCCAGTTCTAGGATCTTGTCCGTGTTGTGATGCCCGTCACTCTTTTCCAAGAAAAAAAAAAAACTACGCCACTTAATGTCCATATGGCAGAAGCGCACTTGCAAACCCCACCCGTCTCATTTCAGAACAAAAACAAAAAACTGCACCCACAGACATCCATGTGGTTTGTAAACAACCAAAGCTCCAGTATGGAATAGAAAGTCTTTCTTTGAAGTCACTATTTGTACGACCAGGATTAAAGAGGCAGTGTGTTCAACTGTTTCCATCCCAAGCTTTTTCTTCTTAAAAAAAGGAAAAAAAAAAAAAAAAAAAACTTTGCTAAACTCTTTGAAGCTTTTTTTTTGTATTGTTTCCATTTTGAAATCTTCTGAGGAAAAAAAAAACTATCAGCATGGGTGTCTTGTCTTTTTTTTTTGGAATACATTCAATATTTTCTTAAGAAAGAAATACACACACTTCACATGGCGACAATGAAACAAAATGAACAAAAAAATTAAGTGGAAAAAAAAAATTAAAAACAACAAAAATAGCAGCCCCAAGTGCTCATTATCTTAGTTCAAATACTTTTTTAAACTTTGTATATAATGTATATATCCATATATATTTTTCATTAGAAAAGAAAACTCGTCATTATCAAATTGCAACAACGAAGTAAGTAACACAATATGCTAACAAGTCATGCACCGTTCTGTGCACTTGCACATTAAGATGCTAATATAGTTTTGTTTTTTCTATGTCAGACACTCGACACCTTTCATTCACAAGTTCGAGAGCTGACAAAAGGCAACGTGATCACACTCCAGAAGAAAAGACTGGACTGAACCTTCTGATGGATCACCTTTAGACTCAACTAGAATTATTAATGATACAAACCCACAAACTTTTCACACACTGTGCTGAGCACTGACACACATCACACTTACTCTCCAAAAGAGATAATGTCTAAATGGCCACGCACCCTATCCAAGTTCTTAGGCACAAATGTGCATTTTTTTTTTTTTTTTTTGTTTTTTTTTTTTTTTACAAATACAAAAAATGACATGTATTCAAAATGAGTACCTGTATTCTTAAACTCATTTCTATGACCGACAAAGGAACGTGCACTCACACCCCATACACATCTTAACCAGATGCACGCACACACACTGTCCCACATGATTCGCCCTGTCCACTAGTCCTTACAGGCCTAGAGGCAGCTCTCCATGGGGAGAAGCAAAGGTAAAGAAACTAGTGGTGGTCTTTGTGTAATGAGCGCTGAAGCCGACATTTACAAATGCAGTTCTGATCTGTCCATGTGAGGATTGAAAGCTGGTGAGAGAAAAGACATGTTGTGCATTTGCTCTCTCTCTCGCTGTCTCTTTCATTCAAATGCTCTTGAAACACACGGAGGTCGAGTCGCCGTTCAGAGACGGCCCGCATATTCTCACACACACACACATTTGCTCTCTCAACATGAACACAAAAACACCATAAAAAAAAAAACCAAAAAGACAAAAATGGCCTCTTATGTTTCATACATCTTGGTAAGCAACAAAAGGAAAAAAAAGGTTGTGCAGACTGGTAGATTACTGACACAAACAAAACACCTCATCAGTCACTCAGTCATTCAAACACATTCACCAAAAAATATTCACTTCTCTAACTAACCCCCATTTGTTTCTGTTTTGTTTGTTTTTTTTTGTTGATTTTTTATCATTTCTTTAGGCAAGTGCAAATCTTCAAGTCTTTTTATAATCCATTTTCAATAGCTTTACTTTTTATATAAACGTAAAAAAAATGCTAAACAAGAGAAATATCAACAGTGTTTGTCTTTCGAGAAAGGATTTGCTCTCTGATAAGGTTTCATTCAACAAAAGGTCCCCATGACTTTGAAAACCTAACAACCTGACCATTCACCCCCACCCACGCTGTCGCTGCCCCGCTTTCCAGTTCCAAAGCACGAGCGCGCACACAGATTGCGGGTGTACACACACTGTATGCGCACCGACTCCATACACACTCCCATACACGCACACATGAAAAAAAAAAAAATTCAAATCCCATCTCAATAAAGTGCATTAGTTCAGTATAAGGTGCTTAATCTTTTGAGTGCCAGAGGATACCCATCATCTCTTTAACCTCACCCTTTCTCACCCGTCTCCCCTGCTCAAGTGATCAACTGGTACAGCAGGGAGCCCTTTTTTCTTTCTAGAGGAAAAGGAAAAAGTGGGAGGTGCAGACTTTGGCGCCTCCACCCTGTACCTCCCCTCACATGCGCTCCCTTCCTATCCCCCCCTTGGTTTCCCCCAGCAGTGCACATTCGTCATCTAGTTTGTCTGATTAAAAGACAGAAGGCCTCAGGTAGCTATTGCTGCTGCGCTGCGTCACATCAGTAATCTTCCACCATCTCCATCTCATTCAGGCTCGGACACTCAGCTGCATTGTGGAATGAGTAACCTGCAGTAGGGAGCAGAAGGGGAGGAGAGGCCAGGAAGGGACAGAGTTACAATACTTTCAAGAAGGACATTGCATCAATATTATTTTGTATCAAACCATCGTTTACATGAGGGGAATCTCTACCCAAACAACATAACAGCTTTGTATTTTCACAGAAAAATCTCTTTAGCTTCTTCTATTTATCAGACACCACATAAGGCAGGGAGTTAGCAGACAGGTGAATTCTAAACCCACTGCTTTACACAGGAGTCACTTTTTTCCATTTAAAAAAAATATATATACAGAAAAAACTACAACATTGATGACAGTTTACTATCACTGAGATGTTTATATCTGAATTCTCTCGTCATTCCATTACTTGTCACTGTGATGTCATGTACCTAAGATGCTTGGATCAGAGTGAAGCATCATGGGTTGTTTCTTTTTCAACTTCCCCCCCTGGTTGTCATAGAGACTAGTCTTCCCCATGTGGTTGGCTTGAAACATGGACTGCAGGGTGCTTGGGTTCATGCTGCGCATTGAGTCCTAGCGTACAAGAAGAAACAAGGAGGAGAATGTGAGAGTGAGGCGGGGAAACAAAGACGACTAACCTTCTGACAACAGTTAAATTGACAAATACTGAAGCTGGACTGAAAAAACAAAAACATGAAAACTATCCCTTGCTATTCTACAACTTGCACAGCACAGACTTTACCTGTAGAGGGAAGTTCATGTTTAGGCCAGCCACTTCCTTTGATAGCTACAATCAGAGGAAAATAAAACAGGTTTATTCATTATTAGCTGTAGGTAGTAGTTGCTTCAAATACAATTAATAACAAATCACTGATAAAACAACCTTAAAATCACAACAAAGAGATACATAAAATATATTGTGTAAAAGTCTAAATTTAAGACAAACCCTAAGCCAACTTCAGAAAACCCTGATACTCAATGCAAATAATGGGAATTCTCACCACAGGTTATCTCCTCGAGATCGCGCCATTTAAAACCGACACTACTTTACTTACATGAGTCAGGGTTTAGGATTACCATCACTGTATGATAAAAACTGTCATGATTTTCACACTAATGGTTAACTTTTTGGATCCCTTGGGTAAATTCAATTTTCTGATGCCATTTCTGATTTGTCCACTTTTACCTGCTGCTGTTGTCTCTGTTGGTTGGCTTTCTGTTTGGCACGTCGCTCCAGAAACTGTTTGGCGAACTCTTTGGCTTCCACTGTGTCCCCCAAGTAGGACCGGATGAAGTCCAGCACTGCATAGGGAGACTCCACCTCCTTCAGGTATGCCACAATGGTGGCGACTAAAAGAAAAAACAAGCACAAACTAAAACCCCATATCTCAGAAGCTGAATAGAATTGAAACATCCTTAAAGAAATTTCCCAGTCTTTTCGCCTAACTCTGAACTTTTAGAAATTAAACCTTTGAACAGTGCAATGTTAACATGGGCTCTCAATTATATACATATATATATATTATATACAATATTCACACTGCTGAACTTGGCAGCTGGTGGACTGGAACCTGAAACCTTCTGAACCCAAGTCTGCTTCCTTAACAACCAAGCCACCACTGCCCCTTGGATCTCAACAATGGACCAGTCGCAGCCACTGTGAAAGGAAAAGAAAGCGGCGCCACCTACCATCCAGAGAAGAGGTGGAGTTGTTGGCAGAGGTGTTGAGGGCATGCAGCATCTGTTCACACCAGGTAGTGAAGCCGTCCTGAGGCTTCATGCCCTGTAGCAGCTTCAGCAGCTTCTCCTCCTCCTCTGTCCTCTTACGACGCATCATGTACTGATCACTGGACAGGACACACATTAAGTACTACAAAGTTCAAGACAAAAAGTCACTTTTGTTTTTCCCATTGAAATATTTGTATGTAGTGTCTACCTGAGAGACGGGCTGCTGCGACTGTTCTTCAAGCCCATGTTATTGTTGCTGTTGCCTCGCAGGCCGGCTTGATTCTTCACAGCCTCGTCCCACATGCCCATGCTGCCTGACGAGCCCCCACTGCCACTTTTGCTATCCATACCTCCAGGCCCACCCCACATGCCGACACCTTCCCACTGCCCTCCCATGGAGGAACTCCCCATTGACATTCCAGGATGCTAGAGACACAGACATAAAAAAGGTAATGTTTATGGGGATTTATTATTTTGTAATCACTTCTTAATCATCAGGGTTTTTTTTAAATGAAACTCACGCGGTCTCTCTGTTGTTGGGCTCTCTGCTGCTTTAGAAGCCTCTCAGCCTCCTGCTGCATTTCCATTAGAGCAAGAGTCGAGGACTTCCCTGATTTGCCGAGCCCAGAGGAAGGAACCCCGCTCCAGCCTGAGCTGCCTGTCACAGGACCCTGCTGCTGACGGGCCTGCTGCAGTAACTTCATGATCAGCTCCTGCTGCTGATGACACTAAATGAAGACGAGACACAGAAGGTCACTTGTTGATGTTGTGCTTCTTGAACATTTCTGGTTATGATCTCCTTTAGATGTAAAGCGTTATTAATCATTGGAGGGCAGGGGAACAAAACCACAGCAAAAATTAATAAATTCACACCTGCTTGCGTCTGAATAGCTCTTCCTCCTCCCTCCTTTTCTGCTCCTCCTGTTGCCTCCTTTTCTCCTCCCTTCTCTTGCGCTGCTCCTCCTCTTCGCGCTTTGCCCTGAGTTCAGCGTCTCTCCTCTCCTGCTGGAGCTGAGGAGTTTTAAAAGTTGGCAGACACGTTGAGCTTATTTGTTATTAGCGTCATTTGCAGTTTGGACAATGAAATTGAAAAGACATGTTAATTTAGATATGTATTTAAGATTTTTCCTCATGTAATTTTTCTCCACCTTTTGAAGCTGTTCGAGAGTTGGACCCTGAGTAGAAGGATTCATTGTTATGTCCCAAAGATTGGCTTCACCGCCTGAAAAAAAGTAAAAGGTGATCAAACTGATTTGATTTCTTCATCCTGCATGCGTATGTCTAAAAACGGGCAGTGGTCTATAAAGTACCCGAAGGCTGTGAAGCTGAGGTATGCATGTCCCACATGGACCCTGTATCTGGCACTGACATCGACCTGTTCATCGAAGGCATTATACCCTGCTCACTGCACCTGCAAAGAATTGAAGTGAAATTTAAAAAAAAAAGATAGAAACAGCCACAAAAAATGTCAGAGATGTTCACTTCACTCATCCTTATAGACTCACCTGTTAATGAGCTGGAATAGCTGCTGCTGCTGCTGCTGCTGCTGGAGCTGCAAATAAAGAGCTGCTGCTGCCAGCTCCTGATGCTTTTTCAGGCGCTCCTGGTCCAGGTTACCCTAGTGACATGGAGATGAAGAAAGGCAACAGATATTTCCAGTCACTTTAATGCACAAAAGATGGTGTCTGTACAAATGTACAAGAATATTTCCATAAAGTCTGCTTTCTCAATCAACATCACATTTTAGGTCTTCCTCAATTCATTCACATCAATCCAAAAGTATTTTCTAGAAAAAAAATGAGGCAACTCTCTTTCATTATTCCTCAATATTACAATAAAGGAATATACAAATTTGATCAAATCTGTCTTTGGACGCTATGGAAACTTTTTTCATTGGCTCCAAATATTTGACACAAAATCTTGCTTCAATACAATTTGTAAAAAGACATTTTTTCAAAAGATTAATGGAAATTGATAATGAGCACAGCAGACTTTAAAAGAACAAAATAGCCATTTCGGCTAAAACATGATGTAATTGTAGAATTTTATGTCCTTTAACCTTTATAACCTCAACGTTGGATGAGCTTCGACTCACAGTCCCAGCGGACCCTCGGTTGGGCTGCGGGCGCTGCGTTGGTGGTGGCTGTCTCACCAGCAGGGGCGGAGGAGAAGGCCCTG